TGGTATTGCTTCCGTTCAGTTGTGCTGGTTTGGTTTGGAAGGTCCAGAGTGGGGTTCACCGGCGTTGGATGTTTAACCCGACTGAGCCACCCGGGCACCTCTGAAGGCCCAGTAGTCTTAATGATGCTATATCACCCGCATCCATTTTGTAAATAATAATAATTATATTTAAACGTGCAGGGGAGCGCCTGAAGTAGGGTCAGCTGGCATCTAACTTCAGCTGAGTCATGATCTCATGGTTTTGTGGGTTGAGCTAGGGGATCTGCTGATAGTTTGAGCCTGGAGCCTGCTTCCCGAATTCTGTGTCCTCTCTCGCTTTGCCCCTCATTCTCATTCTCTCTCTCCAAAAATAAATAAAATAAAAATAAATAAATGCCTTGGAACATACCGCACACACATAAATGCAAACACGTGCCATTTAGCACTGCCTGGAGTAATACAATATATGGTGTTTCTCTTGAAGTCAGGATCCAGGGCATTTTCCTCTTATTATTGTCTGTGTTTTCTACTGTTTAAACAATGCATATGCTGTTCAAGTATTTTTTTTCTGCGGTGGTTTCCCATCTTCTTTAGAAGTCTAATAAATACCCTGAGCATCTGTCGAGAGACTGCTTCATAGGGCCAAAACTGGAATGTGGCCGCTTTCTTTCTTCAACTTCCCACATCAGGAATTATAAATGTTCATTTTTTTGGCTGGGAGGCAGGTGTGGGGTGTGGCACTTGGTGGAATAGAGTTTTTTTTCTCCCATGAATCTTATAAAGATTACCACCCTTCCTTCATGGTTTGTTTTTATTTGTTTTGACCATAACTATGTACCACTTGTGCTATTAGTTAGTTTACCTTTTTCACCTACCTGCTAACTTTTCTATATCGCATGGGCTTTATTTTTTTAAAGCTTTTTGTGCCACTTTGCAGGATATAAAAGGTATCTGCATTATTTTCCACTACAATTATAAAAATAAAGCACAAAAATGGGGCGCCGGGCTTAGTCAGTTAAGCATCCAGCTCTTTATTTCCATCGGGAATGTGATCTCACGGTTCATGAGTTCAGTCTCTTAGATCTATGCTGACACGGCATGGGGCCTGCTTGGTCTCTTTCTCCCTCTTTCTTTGCCCTGCCCCTCTCCTGCTGCACTGCTCTCTCTCTCTCTCGAAAAAAAAAAATAAATAAATGGAAATAAAGCATAATATTTACATTTCGACCATTGGTGGGCATTATTTTTTTTTTGCTTTTGCTTTTTCCTCCGCTTTTTCCTTGCAGAGGTGTGTGTGTGTGTGTGTGTGTGTGTGTGTGTGTTATTATGTGTGTGTTATGAAACTGAATAAAATTTGTCCTGATGAGCTTTCCACTGTCTGGATTTTGCTGAAGTCCCATGAATTAATCATTCCCCAACCACGTTCCTACCCACTGCATTTCCAGCGCACTGGCGTTTCACAGGTAATCTACAAACTTCGATCTCCTTCTGGTTTTTGTAAGGCGGCTTCATAGGCGGTGTGTCAACTATCTAGGAAGCTTATATATATCTCGTAATGTCTGTCTTTTTTATACTGTTAGATTGATCCAGGGGTTCTCCTTAGACAACCTCACCCATCCATTATAGCTGCTCTCTGCTTTTCACCTCTTGGTTTCAACAAGTATAGTCCTTACTTAGAACTATTAAACCATTAGAGTCCATAAATTGACCTATTCTGATACTGTCATTCCTTATTTATTAGCTGTAGTCCATCCATAAATTTGCCTTCGCAAACAACCATTGGTTGACCTGAAAGATCAGATCAGTTTAAAAGCAATAAATGTTTCGACTGCTTTCCTGTTCGATTTGGGAAGTAATGTGTTGGTTCCCTGACAGCATTCTCCAAGGTGACACTGTCTGGATTATGATTTGAAAGCGGTGTGGTAAAAGGCTTCTCTCCTCTGTGTGAGATTACTGGGAAATCTGAACACTACTGGATATTTGATTATATGAAAAGACCTTTATAATTTGAATGTGAATTAGTAGTAGTATTTATTGCTGGGTTTAAAATTTTCCCTCTCTTTTAGAATGAGAAGCTAAAATGTTTACAGATGAAATGATAGCGATATGAAGACTGGATTCCAAGCAATTCTGAGGGAGGAAAGGAGGGAAGGTGTGAATTAATTATTATTATGATGTAGTGTCCCTGTCCCTCTAAAATGCCATCTGGTGCTACACTGATTGAGACCCCTTACAGGGGAAACCCAGTAGTGAGCTTCCTGCCTTAAGCTGTCAAGCATTTACGACGGCCCGTCTGTGACCGATGTTCCCCACTAACCAGTGCTATCCATAGGGAACACACAACGAGTCATCTTCCTCGAGGATGGCAGAACCTCCCACGCCCACTTGATGGCTGATAGAGCTCTCTATTGCGGGTCAAGCGTTTAAGCTGGTATTGGCCATCTCGAGCCATCAGGGAGCCTTACAGATGGAGACTGCACATGCAATCTTGAAAAGCAGGGGTATTGAGGTCCGTGTGTGTGTGGCTGGCTTTGGGGGGGGGGGGCAGGTGCTCGATGAGGGGGAGCTCACCAGACTCTGTCCTACCTGAACCGAGTGCCACACAGCCTCCTACCTGCAGCTGGCCCATTAGGGTGGCGTTGCAGGTGCTCTGTGCCAGCAGGGATGTGGAAGCCTGGTCCCAGCGGGGAGTTCTGACTATATAAAGGCACTAGGTCTCCTGTGATCAGCCAGTCATCGCTGCCTGCCTTTGCCCAACTCTCTGGGACACACGCATTCTTCTGCAGACATTTCTTCTCTGGGTCAGAGGCCCCTTGCAGTAACAGGGGTCTGTGGACTATTTCCTCCTTTATTGGGAGGCCTGCTCCCTACACCCCCTTCTCCACAGGGCAGCCTGGGTAAACATTTGGAATGTGAATCAGACAGCGCATCCCGGCTGCTTGTGCCTCAGTAGCTTTTTGTTCTGAGATAAAATCCACACTTCCTGCCTGTACAGCCATACCCATGCCCAGCCCTGGCCCCCCCTCCTCTACCCTTTTCCCTGCCACTGCCCCTCTCCAACCACCTCACTGTTGCCCGACGGGCCAGGTGCTTACTCACCTGAGGGTCATTGCTTGACTGATTACTTTTGGTCATTCTCCTGCCCTTGATCATCATGCAGTCAGAGGCTCTACCTGACCTCCTCTGTCTTGTTTACTTTTATGGCACTCTCCTGTCAAGTCCCAGCTAAGGTGGCAGACGGGAAACCTTCTGATGTTTGGAACATTCCACCGGTCTTTGAAGGCTTGAGAACTTCTTACCTATGTTCGCCAACCCGTTGCAGCCAGATCATCCATGATGGCTCAGCCAGTTCCATTCAAATCAGAGCCACAAATGCATGTGTTGGCTGAAAAGGTTTTTATTTAACTCCCAGAGAAACTCGGAGGCATCATCTGTTGAAAAGACAGAGGGCGTTTGTTCAGTGGTGAAGTGTCAAGCTTCAGCTCAGGTGTATGAATACTCTGCAGTTTTGTAGGTTCAGTAGCGTCAGGTTCTGTACTGTGCGCTTGGGCCTGAGAACCTGCCGTCGAATTCATGGCTCCCTCTCTCTCTGCCTCCCCTCACACTTCTCTCCTGCTCTCTCTCTCAAAAAGAAATGTTAAAAAATTAAAAAATAAAGCCATTATGCCCTATTTCTCAGGGAAGCTTACTTCTTTTGCTTCCTTAGGTTGGTTTTTGGAGTAAAAACATTTTTCCTTTCCTCCTCACCTACTGGGAGGAGTGACCCTTTAGAATAGCCATATTTGTTATTTGCTACTTCTTTTGCTCCTTCAAGCTGCAGGGTGTCGTGCTGCACACTGGAGATAGTAATCTTTATCTAAGCCTGTTTGCCTCTCACTTGTTACCAGAGAATCAGGTGGGGCAGCCCCTGGGACCTCCCCACTGAGCAATGCAGTGGCCTTCCCATGTCACTGACACTAAACTGCACTCAACTTTCCATCTTGGTGGAAGTTATTAAGCAGTACCATTGGCTGGCCCCAATTAAAATTGACCTCTTTTGTTGGTGTTTATTTGTGAGAGTAACTGTTAGGTAATTTATGCTGAAGGAGATCTTCGAACAGCCAAAATCAATGTCCAATACTATGAAGGGTGATTGAATTTTGAGACCAACACAGGTAATCCCCATCATGCCCTAAGTTGGCATCCCTGTGGGTTAGCACTAATGCCCACCATGTGCCCCACAGTGCTCTGGAGTGGCTTGAAGGATCACCCTGAAGGGGAGATTCGGCTGATGCGACTGACTCATATGTCGTGGGCCAGCTGGAACCAGTTACTTAGCGCCGCGGTGGCTGTAGTCAGGCGCTGGGCCCCTCGATAAGCTGGGGAGGGGAGCAGCGGCGGGACAAGATGTGTCTTAAATGCTATCATCTCATGTGTTGACCCTCCCAAATTTGGTGCCCACAAGCCAACATGAGAGCCTTTCTCACCTGCAGTGTGGCTGTGCATGTCTGAAATTCCCCTTCACCACGAGACCCAGGGAGGTGCCACCTTCTATAAAACTTGTCCCAAGCCCCAAAGCTGCCTGTGTCTCTGTAATGCTCATGACTGACTTTTGGTCCCCATTCTTGTGGCTTCTGAGTGCAGCAGTTTTATGGAGAAAGAGAACGACTGAGCTCCTAGTGGTTAGGAGCCTCATGGTGATTTTTCTGGACAAGAACACACACACCTGGCATTTAAAGAGATGATCTTTTGCTTTTCACAAGCCAGTGTGGTAAGGAATCTGGGGTTTCCATGCGTGGTCATCTCAGGGGCTCTGTCAGCAGTAGCTTGCATGTCTCTTCCCTCCTTCATCCAGTGAGTTCTCTTCTGCACTGAGCATGCCAAACTCTCTTCTCAGTTGACCCTCAGGAGGCAGCTCAGTCACTGTCTCTCATTTTAAGGGGAACCGCCCACGACCCAAGGTCCTTCCTCCCTCTCCTGCACACCATTCCAAGTCCAGAACTTCCCAGGGACCACCTCACCAAAGATTCCTTATACATAGGTGCCAGGTTTATTTTAAAGAGAAAGTTCTTCAAAATTCTGCTGGTTGAATTGTCACTTCTTAACTAGCAGATGTACTTGCAGTTCCATGCACTGTTTCAGCGGAGATGCATTTGAGAAGAGACCTTCTCAGGTGTAGGCCCAGCACGCCCTCAATGTAAGCCCTCACCCTGGGAGGTGCCATCCTAACTCTAAACATTACCTGCTCCAGTCAAGCTGGGCAGGGAATCAGGGAGAGGTGATTCATGGCCACATGCTTGGACTTTCCTATGACCTCAGAAGGATTTTTAAAACATTTTAATGCTGGAAAATTCCAAAATCTCTGTAAAGTAGAGAGGTTACACCAAGAACTACCTATTCTCAGCAACGATCAAGCTGAGCAGGTTTGTCATCATCCAAGATCCACGTGTCCCCTCCCTAGGTTATTTTGATTAATCCAGACATCTGTTGCTCACAAACTCTTCAGATGGTCTAAATGGTAAAAGAAAAAAAAAAACATAACTTCGTTGTATGTCGTATCACAATTAAAACATTAACAACAGTATAATATCCATTTCAGGACATGAAAATTACTCTTCGGTTTGAATTTTGAAGACCATTTCCATTTTTTCGACAAATAAGAGAAAAAGCGAATACAGTTTACACTACCCTCCATTTGACAACTTGCCTTTAATATGTGCTTTTATGTGTGTGACATTTGTTTAATTTGATTTTGTTGTTCATTTATTTTATTCTTTTTTTTGAAGAGAGAGGAGCCATACATGCACAAATAAAGTGGGGAGAAGGCAGAGAGAGGAGAGGAGAAATCCACCAGGCATGAATTGAAATGGGGCTCAATTATGAACAATAGAATCATGACCTAGACTGGAAATAGAGTCAGACAGCAACAACAAACTAGACATACCACACAGGAGCCCAGCATGATGGGGTTTAATTTATGATGGATACAATATTTAATTTAGTTTGGTTTCAAAAGGCTTACAAATACAAGAAGTTTTGTAACAACAGTATTGTGAATCTATTTAAAAGTAACAGTTAAAATAATTTTGGAGTTCCACACTGTGAGCTGCAAGAAGTGTTTTTGCTTTAAAACAATCATTAGATCTATTAAATGCCATTTAAGTGGCATTTTCTTTACTTTGAAATTTTTATTTATTTATGAAAATCTCTATACCCAGTGGAATGCTGGAACTCCCATCACCAGGACAAGGATCACATCTTCCATTAGACCAGCCAAGGCACCTTGCATTCTTGCTTTATTTGTGTATTCTTTATTTATTTTAAATGTTATTCCATTTTTGAGAGAGGAAACAAGCACAAACAGAGGGGAAGAGGACAGAGAGAGAAAGCAGAGAAGTCTGAAGTGGGCTCTGTGCTGATGGCAACACAAAACCTCAGCCGACATGAACTCTGAAATGGGATTCTCCCTCTCTCCCTCTCTCTCTGCCCCTCCCCCACTTGTGCATGCATGGGCTCCCTCTCTCTCAAAACAAACAAACAAACAAACAAACAAACAAACAAACAAAATGAAGTCACACAGCAGCACATGGCTACAAGTTGTCAGCCGGAGGGTGAGTGTGTCTGTATTCGTTTTTCTTAGTTTGTCATGGAAATGGAAATGGGTCTTCAAAATTCAAACCGGAAGCAGTATTCGAAGTCCCAGTGGATATTAGAGCATTGCTGTTAATGTTTTAATTGTGATAATGACATAACGGTTATGTTTTTTTTTTCTTTTACCATTTAGAGATCCATTCTGAATATTTGTGGAGCAACATGATGTCTGGGATTGACTTCAAAATAACCCAGGGGAGGGGACAGGTTAATGTGGATCTGGATGACACAAACTCTGCTCAGCTGATCGTTGCTGAGAATAGGCAGTTCCTTATGTAAATCTCTCTACTTTTACAGAGATTTGGAATTTTCCATAATTAAAATGTTTTAAAAATCCTTCTGGAGGTCATAGAAAGTCCAAGCATGTGGCCATGAATCACCTCCCTGACTCTCTGCCCAGCCTGACTGGAGCAGGTGCCCACGTTTAGAGTTAGGATGGCACCCAGGCAGGGTTTACTGAGGGTGTGCTGGGCCTACACCTGAGCAAGGTCTCTCAATGCATCTCCTGCTGAACAGCATGGGAACTGCAAAGCATTCACATAGTTGTTGAAGTGACACTCAACCAGCAGAATTTTGAAGAACTTTCTCTCTTTGAAATAAACCCAGCACCTATGTATAAGCACTTTGGTGAGTGGTCCCTTAAGTTCTGGACTTGGAATGGCAGGAGGAGGGAGAATTCTTGGTCGCATGGCTCCCCCCTAAAATGAGACAGTGACTGATGGCTCTGAGGGTCAACTGAGAAGAGAGTTTGGCACATGCTCAGTGTGCAGAGAACTCTACTGGATGAAGGAGGGAAGGAGATACATGGTGTGTTACCAAAAGGACAGAGCCCTGAGATGAACTCACGCAAACCCGTATTCCTTACCTGACTGGCTTATGAAAAAGCAAACATCATCCCTGAACACAGGTGTGTTCCTGTCCAGAAAATCACTGGCGAGTTCAACCATCACAGGGAGCTCAGTCAGTTCCTCCAAAACTTGCCGTGTCTGAAGCCAACAAGAATGGGGACCAAAGTCAGTCACAGACACTACAGAGACACAGGCAGCTGGGCTTCTGGGGACAGTTTTATGAAGTGGCACCTCTGGGTCCTCGTGGTGAAGGGAATTTCAGACATGCACAGGCCACACTGCAGGAGAAAGGCTCTCATGTTGGCTTGTGGGCACCAAATTTGGGAGGTCAAACACATGATGGCATTTAAGACACATCTTGTCCTGGGCTGCTGCTCCCTCCCCAGCGCTATCGAGGGCCCAGCGCCTTGGACTTACAGCCACTGCGGCGTGGTAACTGGTTCCACAGCCAATCACGATGAGCCGTCGGCATCGTCGAATCTCCTTCAGGTGATCCTTCAAGCCACCCAGGAGCACTGTGGGGCACATGCAGGGCATTAGTGCTAACCCCACACAGGGACGCGCCTCAACCTAGGGCATGGATGGGGGATTACCTGTGTTGGTCTCAAAATTCACCCGACCTCTCATAGTATTGAAAACTGATTCTGGCTGTTCGAAGATCTCCTTCTGCATAAATGCACTGAAGTTACCTGGTCAAATAAACACCAACAAAGCAGGTCAATTTTAATTCAGTTGTTTTACCACTGCTTAACTTCCAATCAAGATGGAAAGCTGATATGCAGTTTAGTGTCAGTGACACATGGGAAGGCCACTGCACATTACCAAGGGCGTCCCAGGGGCCGTCCCACCTGATTCTCCTGGTAACAAGTGAGAGGCAAACAGGTCAGATAAGATTACTATCTCCAGTGTGCATATCAGACCCTGCAGCTTGAAGGAGCAAAAGAAGTAAGCAACAAATATGTGGCTGGTCTTTCTGGGGCAATACTCCTCTCAGCAGGGGCAGAGGAAAGGAAAATGCTTTACTTCCAAAAACCAACCTACTTAAGGAAGTACAAAAGAAGTAAGCCCTGAGAAATAGGCAATTTTATTTTATTTTTTTAATTTTTTTAAACATTTCTTTTTGAGAGAGAGACAGAGTGTGAGAGGGGGAGGGGCAGAGAGAGAGGGAGCCACAGAATCTGACGCAGGTTCTAGGCTCCAAGCTGTCAGCACAGAACCTGACGCGGGGCTCGAACCCACAAACTGCGAGACCATGACCTGAGCCGAAGTCGGACACTTCACCGACTGAACAACCCAGGTGCCCTGGCAATCTTCTTTTCAACAGATGCCCTCCGAGCTTCTGTATTAAATAAAAACCTTTTCAGCCAACACATGCATTTCCAGGGCTCTGATTTGAATGGAACTGGATGACATCAAAGGGATGATCTGGCCGCAACGGGTTAAGGCCCCTGACAGGTGTTGTGCCTCAAGCTTTGGAAGCATTCACAGACAGGGTGGGAATGTTCCAAACACTGCAGTGTTTCCTGTCTGCCACCTTTAGCTGGGGACTTGACAGAGAGTGCCATAAAGCAAACAAGACAAGTGAGGAGGGTCAGGGAAGAGCTCTCTGACTGGGCGATGATCAAGGTAGAATGACCAAAAGTAATCAGTCAAGTACAATGACCCTCAGGTGAGTAAGCACTTGGCCTGCCTAAGTAACAGTGAGGTGGTTGGAGAGGGGGCAGGGCATAGTGGGAAAAGGGTAGAGTGAGGGGGGGCCAGGTTGGGCATGGGGTATTGTGGGCTGTGGCAGGAAGTGTGGATTTTATTCTCAGAACAGTGGGTGGCCATTGGAGGGCTTTAAGCAGCTGGATAAAAAGGTCTGATTCACATTCCTAAATGTTTACCCAGGCTGCCCTGTGGAGAAGGGGGTGTAGGGAGACAGGCTCTCCTCGCAAGGAGGAAATAGTCCACAGACCCCTGTTATTGCAGGCCTCTGACCCAGAGAAGAAATGTCTGGGTAGAAGAATGTGTCCCAGAGAGTTAGTAAAGGCAGGCAGTTGATGGACTGGTCAGATCAAGCAGGGAGACCTAGTGCCTTTATATAGTCAGGAACTCCTGCTGGGGGAGCGGGACCAGGCTTCCCACATCCCCTGGGCTGGGCAAGCCACAGAGCACCTGCAACGCCACCCTAATGGCCACGGCAGGTAGGAGGGCTGTGGCACCTATTCAGGGTAGGACAGAGAGTCTCAGGAGCTCCCCCATCGAGCACCTGCCCCCCCCCCAAAGGCCGCTGCACACGGACCCTCAGAGGACACCTGCCTTTCATGATTTGCTGCAGTTCCATCTGCAAGGTCTGGATGGCTCGAGATGGGTCATCACTAGCTGAACGCTTGACCCGGTGAATAGAGAGCTTCCCATCAGCCACTGCGGCGATGTCGTCATCCTCGAGGAAGATGACTCGGTTGGTGTGTTCTATGATAGCACTGGAGCAAGGGAAACACGGGCATCACAGACGGGGCCTGCACGTGCTTGACAGCTACAAGGCAGTCACTCACTTGCCTCCCCGGTATGGGTCCCCATCAGTAGCATCAGATGGCATTTTAGGAGGGACAGGGACACTACACTATACACATCAATTCACACCTTCCTCCTTCCCCCCAGAATTGTTTTGAATCCAGTCTCAGACATCACATCATTTCATCTGTAAACATTTTAGCTTCTATCTCTAAAAGAGAGGGAAAAATTTTAAACCCACAATACCATCATCACATCTAAAATTAGTAGTTATTCTTTCATATAATCAAATATCCAGTATGTTCAGATTTCCCCAGTAATCTCACAGATGGCCTTTTACGACCGCTTTCTTCAAATCATAATCCAGACAGTGTCACCTTTGGAGAATGCTTGGGAACCAACACATTACTCTAAATCGGAACAGGAAAGAATGAAACATTTATCTTGCTTTTTAAACTGATCTGATCTTTCAGAATAACCACATTGTTTATGAAGGCAAATTTATGGATGGACTACAGCTAATAAATAAGGAATGACAGCATCAGAATAGTCAATTTATGGACTCCTAATTACTAATAGTTCTAAGTAAGGACCATGAAGTGCTCTGCTGAAACCAAGAGGTGAAAAGCAGAGAGCAGCTTTACAATGGATGGGTGAGGCTGTCTGGCGCATGAACCCCCTGATCAATCTTAACAGCATAAAAAGACAGACAATGAGACATATATGCTTCCTGATAGAAGGACACACCACCGTCTATGAAGCCGTCTTGCCAAAAAATCAAACCAGAAGGAGATCGAGTTTGTAGACACCTGTGAACGCCAGTGCGCGGGAAATGCAGTGGGCAGGGGAACGTGTTAAATGACACCATGGGGGATTCTCTCAGCAAAATCCAGACAGTGGGAAAGTCATCAGGACAAATTATTCAGTTTCATAACACACACACACACACACACACACACACACACACACACACACACACTCCCTGCAAGGAAAAAGGGATAGTTTAAAAGCAAAGTAAAAAATACGTCCACCAATGAAATGTGGGGTCATTATGCTTATTTATTTATTTATTTATTTTTTTTTTTTTTTTGAGAGAGAGAGAGAGTGAGTGCAGGAGGAGGGCAGGGGCAAAGAAAGAGGGAGAAAGAGAGAATCCCAAGCAGGCTCCATGCTGTCAGCATAGAGCCCAAGGCAGGACTGGAACTCATGAACTGTGAGATCATGACCTGAGCTGAAATAAAGAGTTGGATGCTTAACTGACTAAGCCACCCAGGTGCCCCATTGTGCTTATTTTTATAATAACTTTGTATGGAAAGTAATGATAATTTTTGTCTTGCAAAATGGCAATACAAAGTTTCTTTTAAAAATAAATGGCGTTAGAAAAGTTGGTAGGTGAAAAAGCAAACTAATCAATAGCACAAGTGGTACATAGTTATGGTCAAAAATAAAAAACAAATAAAAAACAAAACCATGAAGGTGGCACTTATAAGACCATGGGAGAAAAAAATCCTCATTCCACCAAGTGCCACACCCACACCTGCCCTGTGCCAAAAAATGAACATTTATAATTCCTGATGTAAAGTTAAAGAAAGAAGTGGCCACATTCCATGGCCCTAAGAAAGGTGTCTCTAGACAGATGCTCAGGAAGACAGACTTCTAAAGAAGGATGGGAAACCACCGCACTGGAAAAAAATACTTTGAACAGTATACATGCATTGTTTAAACAGTAGAAAACACAGAATAATAAGAGGAAGAAAATGGCCTGATCCCATCTCCAAGAGAGAAACACCACTTATATTGTATTGCTCTCCAGGCAGTGCTAAATACACGTGTGTTTGCATTTATGTGTGCGTGTATGTCTGCATGTTAATTTATTTATTTTTTAAAATATTTTATTTATTTTTGAGAGAGAGACTGAGAATGAGTCGGGGAGGGGCAGCGAGAGAGGGAGACACAGAATCTGAAGCAGGCTCCAGGCTCCAAACTATCAGCACAGATCCCCGTGTGGGGCTCGAACCCACAAACCATGAGATCATGACCTCAGCTGAAGTTAGATGCTTAGCTGACTGAGCTACTCAGGCGCCCCTGCACGTTTAAATATAATTATTATTATTTACAAAATGGATGGTGATATAGTCCATCATTAAGACTACTGGCCCAGAGGTGCCTGGGTGGCTCAGTCGGTTAAACATCCAACGTCGGCTCAGGTCATGATCTCACGATTCCTGGGTTTGAGCCCTGCGTTGGGCTCTGTGCTGACAGCTCGGAGTCTGGAGCCTGCTTCTGATTCTGTGTCTCCCTCCCCCTCTGCCCCTCCCCTGCCCACACTCTGTCTCTCTCTCTCTCTCTCTCTCAAAAATAAATAAATGTAAAAAAAAAAAGGAAAAAAAAAAGACTACTGGCCCAGGAGTTAGACAGACCCAATATGGTATCCTTATTTCTGTCTGTTACCAACATTGTGCCCTCAAGCAGCCCAGATATGACCCCTCTGAGCCACTATGTCAAATTCCTCATTTGTAAAATGGGATATGATCACTGTGCCTTCACTAGAAGTTTGTTGTGTTTACTTTTTCATGTTTATTTATTTTGAGAGAGAGAGAAAGAAAGAGTGTACAGGAGAGGCAGAGGGAGACAGAGAAAATCCCAAGCAGGCTCTGTGCTGACAGTGTCTGACTCGGGGCTCAAACCCACGAACTGCGAGATTATGACCTGAACCGAAATCAACAGACGCTTAACCAGTTGAGCCACACAGGTGCCCTGGTTGTGTTTATTAAATGAGACCATCCTGGTGAAGCCCTCAGCACTGGCTACTGTTGCCCTGCGGGTTCTACAGTGTGCCTTCGTATCTGGGAGGGTCACCCATATCTGGTCTACACACCATACACTGTAAAATCATCTTTCCAAGTTCCAAATCCTAAACAAGCAAAGAAATCGTGAGGATTTTTAATTATAGCATCAAATTTGCAGATTAAGGAGAGTCAGTTATCTTTAAAAAACAATTTTTAATTTTTTTTTTTTTTTAAAGGCCGGATGAAGATTTAAATTTTTTTTTTCAACGTTTATTTATTTCTTGGGACAGAGAGAGACAGAGCATGAATGGGGGAGGGGCAGAGAGAGAGGGAGACACAGAATCGGAAACAGGCTCCAGGCTCTGAGCCATCAGCCCAGAGCCTGACGCGGGGCTCGAACTCACGGACGGCGAGATCGTGACCTGGCTGAAGTCGGACGCTCAACCGACTGCGCCACCCAGGTGCCCCAACAATTTTTAATTATTAAAATAACTTTAAGCCAATTAGTTTTTTAAAAAATAATGTTAAGCCTTTTTACCAAGGAGTGTGGACTCTCTCCCTTTATTCAAATCTGGTCTTGTTTCTCATTGCTGACTTTTGTAGTCTTCTCTGGAGAGACTCTGGACTATTTTTATTAAGATTTATCTTAAGGGATTAAAATAGTTTTTCTAGCTCGGGTAAATAGATTACTTTTTTTTTTTTTTTTTTTTTTTTTTTTTTTTTTTTGGTTTTTGTTCAAGAAAGGCTTGCTGAGGGTTTACTGTGCCAGTCATGTGAGGAGGCACAAGAGGAAACGGGGTGGATATGGTTCTGCAGCCTTGTTCAGCTAATAGCTGAACTGCTGGAATGTCTGATTTCCACATCTTCATTCTCTGACTAGCCTCTAGGATTAGTTCTAACAGGCTTTCAGTTGGATTTAAAAAAGTTTTTTTTTAATGTTTATTTGTTTTTGAGAGAGAGCCCAAGCGGGGAGGGGCAGAGAGGCAGTGAGAGAGCGAATCCAAGCAGGCCCCAAGCAGCCAGTGCAGAACCCAATGCAGGGCTCGAACTCACAAACCGTGAGATCGTGACCTGAGCCCAAATCAAGAGTCAGACGCTTCACTGACTGAGCCACCCAGGCACCCTTATGGTAGTGTTTTCTATTTCAACTACCAGGAAAGTGTTTTGGTCTTTTCTGAGTATGTGTATATGGATGTGTATAAATTTTTTGTACTAAAATGGATATGAAGCAGACTTCCTCAAATTTCAGAAGTATTGTCTGTTAATGAGAACATGGACTTAGAAATGACTTGGACCACACTCCTAGGTCTTGGCCCTCTCATCATGAGTGCTCAGACTCAGGCAGAGTCAGGTGGGGTGAGAGAAGGACCAAAGGTCTGAAGACACCTGCCTCAGCTAGCTAAAGGGAGCATAGCCTTTGAGTGGCCCCAGACATCCTGGGCCAGAGGGAGCACAACCCAGGGTGCTCAGATCTGCTGATTTTCCAGAGAAGCTAGAAATCCAGAATTTTATGTGAAATCTCCCCCCTTTTAAAATGTTGGCAAATAATTCAATTATTCTGTGCAGGCCCCAAAACATTGTGGAGGTCAGTGAATCCTGCCCTTGGTCATGAGGTGCCCTCAGTGGTTCTCTAAGGTTCTCGGAGAAGGGTCACAGAGAACTGAAATCTGCCATCATCCCTGCCCCTTGCTGTAAGAAAACAGCTGAAAAGCGGGGATAAATGAAAAATGGTGGTGTCTGGCCAGTCATTTTTGGTTACATAATCCTAGCAAAGAAAGGAAACAAGCTTTAGCTACCTTGCGTCAGAAGCAAAGAAGAATTCCACTGCTTTATCGCCCACGGCATGAAGGCAGGTTGAGCTGTCCAGCCTCTTCATTCTTGTCTTGCAGATCTTCTTTACGTTCTCGAAATTGCCTGGTGAAGGAAGGATTGCAAGTGACATTAAACTATTTTGTTTGAATAACATGAAGCAAGGCACCAGCTTTCCCTTTGAATATGTGTGGGAGAAATCTGCAATTTTTAGCTTTGGCTGCGTCAGCCAAATCGTGAAAATGATCCCCAAATAGCACGGTGCCACTGCAAGAGCTTTTTGAATGGCTGTGAACAAAACAAAGCAAATCAACACTCATACCAGAGCGTGGCTGCCTTTATGTAATGGAGCTGCATGCCTTCCCCTGGACTTGTGTATGTGTTTGAAAATATCTATAATAAAAAGCTTTTGCAAAGAGGGACCCAAGTCTCAGTTGCACGAAAGCCTTTCTGACCTGGAGCCTTATGCGGACCGGCCCCGGCAGACAGAAGAAATCTGCCTGCACCAGAGCTCCCTGCCCTGTTCAAGTCCTTCTCGGAAAACTTACGTGTCCTGTACAAGATGGGGATCTGTTCCGTGGAAAGCTTGTATTTGCTGCGCACTCCAATGAGGAGGGGGCTGCCTCTCCTGTAGAGACAACAGGGAGTCGAGTTGCTCATTGTCTCAACACCCCAGGCAGGGCTGGATGGCCTCTTAGCACTGAGGAGGGGTCCCCGCATCTAGCCCTTCCAACAGGGGAAAGTGTCCTGTTGAGATCCTACAGGACGGACTCCTGAGCCACAGGAAGATGCTCCCAGGGCTTGGGGCAGGGACCAACTGACTGGCAGAATTCTGGCTCGCTTTCACGGTACCACCCACCTGCCCAGTAAATCCCCACATGGTTAGATCACTGCGGCTGAGGCATCAGTAGGCCCTCACTTCATGGCTCCAGCTTGCTGCTATTTACTGCCATCTTTAAAGCAGGAGCCCTGGACGCCCATGACCTGCCCAAAGACTCTCTTCCCTCCCCCTGCCCCGCCCCTTTTGCCTAGCTCAGCTGTTCTCCAGCTTTGAGGGGCATTCTGATGACTGGCTTTGGATCTGCTCAACTTTGTGGGCCACTTAACACACTTTCAAGGGTGGTTTTGTCTCTGAGTGTCACCTCCTGGGCGAAGTTTCAATTCCTTGACCTGCACGAGCTGGACTCCATCACAGAGGGGACAGTGATGTTTCCTCTGTGGGAGTTCCTGCAGCCTCAAACTCAGGTTTCCTCTCCCAGCCCCGCATCCAACTTCCCCAAGTGGGGGGACAAAGTCTGTGGCTTTGAAGAAAGTGCTGTGAGCACCTTGAATAATCTGGACCATCTTTTATCATATCTGAAGCAGAGGAGACATGGCTCTGGTACAATGGAGAGCCAGCTCGAATGGCCTTTATAACATTGACAATGAGAAAGTACTGTGGTTATCTAATTTTCTTGGCAAACGTCTCCCCCAGATTTTATTGTTGTAGATAGAGCTCTATGATTTCTCTGAACTTTGCCTCAGATAATGCTCCCGAGGCATCCCAAAGATTGCCCAGGAGGTTACAGAGCCGGCAGGTTATGGACAATTTAGAAATATAAAGCTTTATTGCTTCTTCACATGGCCTTCTTTTGCATTCATTTAAAATAGTAATACCATGATAGTGTCAAGTTTTAAAAGGGGTTTCTAATTTTTTTTAATGTTTATTTATATTTGAGAGAGAGAGGGAGACACAGAATCTGAAGCAGGCTCCAGCCTCTGACCTGTCAGCACAGAATCTGATGCGGGGCTCGAACTCATGAACCGTGAGGTCATGACCTGAGCTGAAGTTGGCTGCTTAACTGACTGAGCCACCCAAGTGCCCCGGGGTTTCTAAATTTAATAGGGACAAGCGGTCTGTTATAATTCTATGATTGAAGAAATTGAATGCCAAGCGGTAAATTCCTTCCTATCCTGAACAAAAATTAAATCATGATACATTCCCATCATTTCCTGCCTAGAGAATATGACTGTGAGGGATTGCCTCGTTCTCTCTGCGTCTTCCAGGCCACAGGTGCATTCTCCATGGCTCCTCAGAGGCTTCAGAATGAAACTTTCAGTCCACAGTGCACCTGAGACCTTGCAGAGCAGGGCTTCTGCCAACATCCTCACTCCCCACCAGCCCTTGGAGCTAGAGGGGCAGAGTGTACACGACCTTGCTCACTGCTGTCTCCAATGCCTGGTACACAGCAGGTGTCAGTCTGTCTTTCTGAAAGAGCAGAAAGTCCCCCCATGACTGCTACCATGAGGAATGAGCTTACAAAGTGTCTTGGAAATAGCCACTGCTTTCATTATAGAATCTGGGCCACATTCCAGGGGCTCCTTTGAAGAGCAAGGGTTGGCGTGTCCCTGGTGACCCCATCTGTGCCCTCAACCAGGGTCTTTTCTATTTTTTTTCTGAAGGGGACTCAGGCTGCTCTGGGTCAGATCCCCGAATGCTGAGCTCACTCTAGGCCCCTTCCTTTTGCTCACACTGGTGCTTCTGGCCACCTCCCCAAGGCTGACATTTGTACCCCCTCATGCTCCCCAATGCATTGCCTCCCAGTCCCCAACACGGAGTATCAACACCCTCTGCCCTGCTCTGTCCTCCTGCACAAATGTCCAGTCCTTAAAGACAGGACTAGGTCAGGTGTTAATAGATCCCTAGGACCCAGTATAGACTAAGTGCTCAACAAATATCAGTTGGATGGATGGAGGGAGGGAAGGACAGATGGACAGGTAGATGTGTAGATGGATGGTCAGACTGATGGCAGATGGACAGATGGATAATCAGTTCATCTGAATATAAAATAACAGGATGGCACTCATGCTCCCACTTGTGTGAATCCACACATCACTGGGGGCCATGTGGCTCTATCCAACAGAGGGACATGTCGGCTGGCCCTCTAGAACACCTCTGGTGTGCAGGTGATGAAGCTTGAGCGTGGGGCCTTCAAGGCCTCTTCTTACTGGATTCAAATTAATGTTCACTTGTTCCTAGTTTCACATTCATAATTTTGCAAGCTTTTTCCAGAAGGCATCTCCAAAACTGACCTGCAACCTGGATCTGCCCCTTGCTATACAGTTTTATTTTTACTTTGAATTTGTTATCAACTTCTGAAAATCTGGAGATTTCAAATAAAAAATCAACTTTCTGCTTTCTCTTTTAAAAATCAGAAGCCCAGCCACAGAGATGGTAGGGTGCATAAGCCACGGTCTCACTTCTCCCCTGTTGTCTCAAGCTAAACAATCTTATTTTATTTATTTGTTCTTGAAATGTCAATGTGTTTTTGCCTCACCTGGTCGCAACAGCTTCTCCCGGGTAGTGGATGCTCTTGAAAACCAACGCGAATGCACCTTCCTGTAAACACAGCAAACAAGAGTGAGCCTCATGTGCTCCGGCCCCACTTGAGCTGCCAGGGCTGTTGCAGCCTGGCCCACCACCCCACAGGGGGGTCACTCTTCACAGTGGGTGGTCCTGGGGTTCCTCCATCAGGGTGCTGAATGCAGGACAGCTCTTTCAGGGTGATGTCAGGAGAAGAAAGTGACACAGTCCGTACCACGAGGAAAATCCAAAGACCAGAACTTGTGGATTTCATGGTGCTCAGCAGAACCCACCCCTGCTCAGGGCCACAAGGAGCGATTCCCAGCTCTGTGATGATCTGGGTGGATGGGGGCAGTTAGAGCCTCAGGAAATGAGAACTGTGGCCAGGGGTCCTGCCCTGGAACTGTGAGAACGAAAGGGACTACTCCATGACACACAGTAGAGCCTGGGTTCAAACGCTGTCTCCACCCCTTAATTGAGCAATTGCCTAGTTTGTGCCTCGTGGTGAATGGAAATGAGAATAGTTCTACCTTGCATGGCTTCTGTGAGCTCATGTACTTTTGTTGCTCATTTTTGAGAGAGAGTGTGTGAGCAGGGAGGGACATAGAGAGAAGGGGACAGAGGATCTAAAGTGGGCTTTGTGCTGACAGCAGTGAGCCTGAGTTGGGGCTTGAACTCACCAACGTGAGATCATGACCTGAGCCCAAGTCAGACGCTCAACCAACTGAGCCACCCAGGTGCCCCATGTGAGCTCCCATGTGAGCTCATGCACTTTAAGTGCTCTGAACAGTGGCCTGCCATATGAAAAACCCAACAGTGGCATGGGTTGTTATTAGTGTTGCTATTATTTCTTTAGCAATGACTGTCATTTACCCTCTGTTGCGTTGTGCAAACCAGAACAAACCTAGTTCTCCTAACTCAAGACTCCAATGCTCTATTTAAATCCCTGGTGCAAAATTCTCTCCTACATTCTGACCACCCTGTACTAATTTTACCATGCCCCTAGTAGACTGGGGTTATGTATAACCAGCTAGAAGTCTGGATTTTCATGTGAAATGCCCCATGTTTTGGAATGGCAGACCCAAGGCCCCACGCAGCCTTGGCCAGTTTGTCAACTCAGTCACACAGCCAGAGGGACCCAGAGTCAGCATCACTAGGCCTCTAGGGGCCTTTCAAACTGCCCAGGAGCCTGATGTTTACCCTGCCAGTTCTGTCAACAATAACGTGGTACTGAACAGAAAAATACTTCCCAGTCCCAAAGAGCCCCAAAGAGCCCCTCATTGCTTCAGCTAAGAGAAATCACTGAAATTTACACCTGTCATCACTGGGGAGGCATTTCCAAAATTTAAAATTACAAATGGAAATGAGAAGATATCGTGCAGCAAAACCAAACTGGTTTACTGTAAATTACATAGTAATTATACTATGTATTACGTATAGGACAGGCTCTTGTCTATAAACGTCTTCTAAATTATGACTTCCAAAAATGGGAGCAAAGTGTTTGACAGTAGACTTATTTATGAAAAAGGCTCTGAAAATACCAGAGGGTGATATATTTTAAACCATAGTGTTGTACCCTCTGACCCTGGATATTCCAGATTCTTGGCCCCAAATGCTGTCTCCAGGCTGCCCCTGTGTCGGAGGAGCTCCTGGATGGCAGGGATGCCCAGGAGGCTGGACTCTGGGAAATCTGGAGACCACTCCTCCTCCTACCCCTACCATCTCATACACGGCCTGAGTCTGTTGTGCCTCGTCCTTGTGGACAACTCCCCCTCTACCCCGCCCTTGCCCCAGCATGTGCCCCTTCTTGGGGCTTAGTTTTGTGGGTCCAGCCCTCTGGGACATCACCAATCTCTCTCTCTCTTCCTGGATAAGCACACAAACGTGACCTGGTATCCCCTATCACAAAAAACAGTCTTCCCTCAGAACTGCAAGCCTCTCCCACCACCACTGGGCCGTTTCCTGACACTCTTTTTCTAGAATCAAACTTCTCAAAAGTTCACATCTGCTTTTACTTCCTTTTCTTTCCAACTCTGCTCAGTAAAGATATGTGGGTATTTCTGCCCCTTGATGAACAATCACTTCACTGAAACTGGAGGAAAAACTACAATTCTGAGTCTCCAACATCAGTTCAATGCACCCTGGGTATGTAACTAATGGCACACACAGCAGACAAGATGACAAAGGTCCCGCGTGCAGTGTGCCATCACGAGGAACCACTGATGGGAAGTTCCGATCATGGATTCAGAGGGGTTAAGATGGAACAAGCCACTTCTTACTCGATATTTACTACCAAAACCTCAAGATTTCTCTCAGTTCTCCATGATGCAACATCTTAAGGCCAGACATCGTAGACTTTTTTTGTTTTTAGTAACTTCACGCCCAGCACAGAGCCCAATGCGAGGCTGAACTCATGACCCTGAGATTAAGACCTGAGCTAAAATCAAGAGTCAGATACTTAGCCAACTAAGCCATCCAGGCACCACTGTAGTCAAGCCATCTTTAATCCTCAGGTACTTTGCACAAATTCGACTCATAAATGCTACTGAAAAAGTGAAGGAATGAAAGGGCGATTTATGTACACAGGTGGGCCTGGTAACTCACCAGCTGCTGAATGACTCTTTCGACCAGTGTTGAAAACGTAATGTCCTCAGTTTCTCTGTTGTCAAACACGTATTTAATCAGCTTGGCGATGGTCTCTGTGTCTGTTTCTGACTCAAACTCATAGCCTTTGCTTTCCTGTAATATTTCGTTGGACAGAGTGTTAGATAACGGTCATTGCATAATGTTGCCCGGCCAGCTCCCTCTCCTCCCTTATGATCCACGCTCACAGTGACTTAAGATAAGAACAAGGAAAACGGGGGGGTAAGAAATGTCTGCCAGAATCACATAGCAAGCTGAGTCATTCCAGTATTCCCTGAGATCATCCTGCCTCAGAAGTCTGTCCTCGCCATTAATCTGGACATTGCAAAATAACAGCAGTCAAAATGACCAAATATGTTGAGTCAAACCCACCCACATCCCAACCAACGCCACAACCTTTTCATATGTGAGACAAACACTGTCTGCCTTCTCACCCCACATTCCATGTGGTGTATGAGTCGATACGTTAGGCAGTGCAGATACTTTAATAAAAGGAAGTTCATGTTCTTTTGATTATGTGAATCTGCAGTGGTCCCTGAGGGACATGCAAATGCCCTGCTATCCTCTCCTGCAAGATCTGGAAAGGTGGCGGAGCCAGGATGAGGTTTATGTCCAATGTGGTGACATGGGTCTTACTCAGCTACTGCTTTTGCTTCCAGAGGGAAATGAGCTGGTTGGAAAGTTCTGGGGAAGATCGACACCACCTGACTTACACGTTAACCCAGGGGAAGTAGCTTACCAGAAATTTCCTTAGGTCTTTGTAATTTGTGATGATCCCATTATGGATGACAACGAATTCTGGAAGAAAAGTTTGGTGAAGAGAGAAATGCTATGAAAAGGTGAAGTTCAATTCGGAAGTGAAGGACAACGATTTGACAGTCTGAAACTCTACAAGCTTTCCTCCCACGGAGACTCCTGTGAGCAAACATCACTTAGCGGTGATGAGAGTGGACGTGTTACCATCTACTACAAGTTATTTTTTATTTATTTAAATTTTTAAACTATTTTTTTAAACATTTATTTATTTTTGAGAGAAAGAGAGAGAGCACGTGCACGCAAGTGGGGGAGGGGCAGACAGAGAGGGAGACACAGAATGCAAAGCAGGCTCCAGGCTCTGAGCTGTCAGCACAGAGCCCGATGCGGGGCTCAAACTCACGAACCATAAAAACATGACCTGAGCCGAAGTCGGACACTTAACCGACTGAGCCACCCAGGTGCCCCTACGACTACAATTTAAACCTGAGGAAATACACTGCTCTCTTTGGGTTAAAAGCACCTACCAACCTGACTACGCACAGACCTCTGACCTGTGGCCTACAGTATCGTCAAATGTGTTTTGGCATTTATGTCAAATAGGGGATGATGAACACTTCATTATCCAGAAACTAGTTCAGGCATTCTGAAATAGCTTTAGGTTCAATGAGGCCACAAGCTAGCAATCCACACGTGTTCCATTTGATCCACACCACATTGTGAAAAGAGTGAAGTTTGAAATTTTGAATCCTGATTTTCAGGTGCCTGCGTGGCTCCATCAGTTAAGGGTCTGACTTCAGCTCAGGTCATGATCTCACAGTTCGTGAGTTTGAGCCCCAGGTCGGGCACTCTGTTGTCAGTGCAGAGCCTGCTTGGGATCCTCTCTCTCTGCCCCTCCTCCATTCTCTCTCTCTAAATAAACTTAAAAATTTCTGGGTGACCCCAGAAATTCTGGCATCTTTGGGCTCACCCCCATTCCTGTATGGCCATGAGCATTTCTCCCTACAGGGTCTGCCTGATGTGGCTCCTCCCTGCTCCCTGAGCACCAGTAGGGTTCCTTGCCCCCAGCTGGCGGGGGGAGGGGACCCCCTGGCCAACCGTGGAAGAGGGATATGCCTCAGTCACCATTGCATTTCCTCAATAAATAGCTGATGGATAACCTGAAGGTCTAAAAGCAGCCTGAGAGTTTTTCTGGGTAAGGAATTCCCTTTCCTCCTGAGCCTAGATGATAGACCCTTTATCATCCTTGGCATTCAGTAATTCCACCAGGATGCATCTAGAAGGTGGGTGTTCTTCATAAAGATTACTGTTCAGTGAAACTCTGGATCTCTAATTCAGTTTTTGGTCAGTACAGGCTAGTCCTTTACTGTTTTTCTTTGTTTTTAATCATAATTTCCTCTCTCTCTCTCTCTCCCTCTCCCTCTTTTTTACAGCCTATTGTTATACTTGTGAAGTCACACACAGACTGGAAGGGCTTGAATAGAAAAGCCATTTTCGACAAGTGTGCTGGGCACAGCTGAACTCATTTACAGCTTTACCTATTATTATTATTTTATTTTATTTTATCTTATTTTATTTTTACTATTTCACTTGTGTTGTTCTCTTCTTAGGGGACACCAGTAACTCACCTATTGGATCTCTATTCACTGTCTCCATATTCATCCACCTCTCCAATAGTTTTCATATTGACTGTGACACAGTTGCTTTATTTTCTTAACCTTGTCCCATTTTTTCATTTAATTGTCTTCTCATCGGTAGTTGGCTTCCTAGAATCTCTGTTTTCTTTACGAATGCTTCTTTGTGTAATTTTCTTGTGCAACGCTGTTGCTGGGTGTAAGTGTTCCTCAAAAATGTGCTCTTCGGTTATCCCTGATGAGTTGCTAAAGAAATTCTACGAATCTCTGCTTACTTCTCGTGTTGTTTTCTTTTCAATTACTCACCCTGAGTCAGGGCAGGCATTTTCAAGTTTGGGTGTGGGGCAGGGGGATCTGCTTGGAGCCTCCCTGCTTTGGGGACACAGAATCCCCGACTACACTGAAGTGAGGCTTCACTTTATCACCTAGGGTGGCAACCTCTCAGGGTACATGGTCTTGGTACAGTTTTTCCCACCAGCCCCACTGCTCCAGGGGTCAACCTCTGTATCTGGCTTGAGATTTGGCTGGAATAACATTCTAGGTCCTCAGCACCATGGGGTCTGCTGTCCCCCTCCTGGATGTGGGGCACTGACCCCGGAAGTGGGATGCCCTATGGTTCAAGGCATGGACCAGATCCAAGGATCTGTCCTCACTACCCAAGACCCCGACCACATGGATGCACGTGTAGCCCAGCCCCCAGGGTTCTCTCCAGGTGTTCTGCCGAGCAGGAGGTATGGGGCTCTCCTTCCATTCTGCAGAGGAGTCCTTCCCTTCCAAATTGGGCAGGATGAGCCAGTGTTCCCAGGAGTAAGGGACATTGAGCAGAGAGGTGCCAGTCTCTCCTATGGCCCAACTTCCACGACGATGAACTGCAGTGACTCTTGCCAAGTGTTTAGCTAAAGTTTCCTGCCAATAAGCACTCCTCAACGACTCTGGTGGATCTGATTTCTACTCTACTATGGGGCTTGGTAAGAACTGACACTATGCCAGGGAATGTCTTGGGGTGGGGGTCCCAAGGGACTCCAGAGGTCATTCTCTCTGCCGGTCACCCTCCCCCATCATGCCCAGGGGTGGGTCACTGGGGGCTTCTGACCTAATCAGGCCTAACCTAGAACGGAGACCCACTGGAATCTCCAGACCTACCAGCACTTCTCTGATGAGAGGGCCTGGGGGTGTCACTGAAGAGAACTATCCTGTGGGCCCAGGCATGGGACATGGACCCACGAGCTGGGGCATTTGGGAGAACCAGGGATCCTGCAGCTCACCAAAGTGGGCCTGGTATCCCCGTGACTGCCCTGAGCAGTCACCATGTCCCCACTCTCTGTGGGGTCACTCTCTGTGACCCTAGACCACTGCTTTTTCAGTGGAACTCCAAGGTACTGTGAGCCCAGTTACCATATCTTCTAGTTTTTCAAGGAATAACAAAAGTCTGGACTTTCAGGTTTGGTAATTCTCATATTTAAAAAACATGACGCAAGCCAAGCAGAGGGCTCTGCTGCTTGGAGGGAGGCCCTGGGCTGCCTGCTACAGTCTCTGCTTCTCCAAACCCCAAGCCTTTGGCAGCTGAGGCCTCATGGCAGGGCCCAGGATTGGAGCAGGAACTTCAGACATTAACCAAGATCAGCACTGCCCTGGCTCAAGACCACTCTCTTCTGGGGAAATGAAACCCATCCCTCCCTCGGGCACCCAGCCCTCCAGAACAACACAGTCCCTTGCGGAACAGTGCCCGACTCTTAGACCTCTCATGCTGCCAAGTCACACTCAGGCTGGGTCTCAGAAGCTGGGAGCAGTCATGGGAAGTCGCCACTGTTTTCCTGTAGAGGCCTGGGTGGGGGTCAGCCCTGCCCAGGAGCCAGGCTGAGTTTGCCTCCTGTCTAAGGCCCAGTGCTATCTGTTTGGATCCTCGGGGAAGATGAGGCAGGGAGAGAAGCATGCCAGTTGGCAGTGGGTGTGGATCCACAGTGGTACAGGTCAAAGCCAGGCAGAACCTTCAGGAAGGGGACGCAGGGCCACGCTACATACCGTTGCCTTTGTCTGAGCGCTGTGGATGGCTGTTGACAGCATTGGGGACCCCATGGGTAGCCCAGCGCGTGTGGGCAATGCCAAAGTGGGTCTCAAACTCCACCTTCAAGTCCATGCTGTCTTGTTCTAGAAGCAAGAAAAATAATCATTGACACAGTACTGTTATGGTGAGGTGGCATCATTACATGGACACACCTCAGCCACGTCAAAAGCACATCCCACCTTGGACTGCAAAGGCCCCACCCTGGGGATTTCTGCCAGATCCCTGCTGTAGTTTACTTAGTGCTTATCAGTAACCTAAGTCACCAGCCAAAATGAGCTTACTTTAAAAAGAATATTATAGATCATAACTATAAATGGAAAAATAGTATCATTTGCCAGAAAAATTAAAATAAATACATACGTACTAAATATTTAAAAAATTCTCATGCACCACCTCCTAGAAAAACAAAAAACCCCAGACAACCAACCCCCCCCAAACAAAACAAAAACAAAAACAAATCCCACACTATGAGAAACACAGTTTTATGATGTAGGCTTAACTCTCCTTCTATTTATCCATGCTTGGATAAGTGAATATTTTTAGTCTCGAATGCTATTGGAATAAAAGACTTTAAACTGACCCATGCTGCTTTGACTGGGCATGTGTCCCACTTACTGTAAAGTTCTTCATCAAGAGCCTTGACATTTCCTCTTTTCTTGACCAGCTGGATATGTCTTTCTTTGACTTCGTTATTATTTCCATCGATTGCCACACCTGTGGGACACACATGATTTTTTTTTCCTTTTTTTTGCATTGGGATTTGTTTGGTCTCCTGCACTTTGTTACAGAGTACAACCCAGGGTGAGGGCTGCACAGTGCTTTGGATTTGTCCGTTCCCGTTGGCCAGGCTTGCAGCCTGGAAGAGAACTACACAGTGTTCAGGATGTCAATTCAGCAAGATTATGATGTAGCAGCAAACAGGGGAGGCGCACCTGGGACCTGGGCTGTGGCTTTGAACCAGGGTGCATCCCAGGAAGCCTGCCTGTGAAGGAGGTTCCTCCACGCCCACCACTGAAGGTGGCGGGCTCGCTTGAGGGCACTGATGGTGCCATGCCCTGTGCTGACATCCCTACTGCATTAGTGTTCCTAAGATCCTTCATCTGACATGCTTTCCGTTAAGAATGAACAGGGAGCGGAGCCTGGGTGGTTCAGTCGGTTAAGCATCTGACTCTTGGTTTTGACTCAGGTCGTGATCTCTCAGTTAGTGAGTTCCAACCCTGAGCAGGGCTCTGTGCTGACAGGGTGGAACCTGCTCTGGATTCTGTCTCCCTCCCTC